ATGGAAACAACTACGTGCTCATCAGTGGAAGAGTGGATGACCAAACCATGGTACATGCACACAATGGAATGCTATGCAGCACTAAAGAATAATGTAGAGTATAGAAAACACCACATAACATGGATGAACTTGGAGGACATTATGCTGAGTGAAATAAATCAGTCACAGGAGGACAAATGTAGTTCGTTGTTGTGGAGGGTCAAGGAAAGGTTTCATATATGGAGGGAAACTTTCTTTGTTGGTTGCCAGGGGTGGGAGGGGAGGGGAGGGAACACTGAAAAACAAAACAAAACAAAACAAAACTGCATTGACCCATGTTACTTTAGTTTTGTGTATTTCACTGTACATAAATTATATTCCAATAAAATGCATTAAAAACAAAAATAGTTCTCCCAGAGCTTTAGGTCTAATCTCTCTCAAAATTCAGGTGAGGAAACGAGGCTGGAGAGGAACTCCACTGGCCTTGCTCAACCTATGGAGCCAGGCGATGGCAGAGCTGGGGCCAGAGCCATACCTGGCACAGTGGCCAGGGTGGCCCAATGCAGCCTTGTATCCTTGGAAGACTCCAAGTAGTGATGCAAGTTTTCATTGCTGTAGGGTTTTGCTTTGTCAAAAGCTTTTAAATCAACTTTATTGAGGTGTAATTTACATTCAATAATATTCCATCACCCAGAAAATTCCCTTGTGCCTCTTTGTAGTCAATTCCTACCCCCAAAGACAACTGCTGATATGATTTCTGGCACTATAGATCAGAGTTGTTTTACTTCATATAAATGAAATCAGACAGGATGTATTTTCCCATTTTGTTTTTTTACAGCTTTATTGAGATAAAATTGATGTCTACTAAGCTGCATGTATTTAAAGTGTACATTATGAAGGTTTTTTTTTTTTGACATATCCCTCCCTCTCGAAACATCATCAGTCAAGATAATGAACGTGCCCATCTCCCCCAAAATTTCCTCATAAACCAAAAAGACCAAACCCACTACCATCGAGTCAATTCTGACTCATAGCAACCCTCATTGGGTTTCCGATGAAGTAAATCTTTATGGAAGTAGATTACCCAGTGGCTGGTGGGTTTGAACCACCAGCCTTCTTGCTAGCAGTCAAATGCCTTAGGCACTGCACTACCAGAGCTCCTATAAGTTGCCTCGTACTCCTTTTTATCCTTCTCTCCCTCCCTATCCCAACCACTGACTTGCTTTCTATCCCCATAACAGTCTGTGAATTCTATAATTTTATACCGAATCATCTAGCTTGCTCTCTTTTGTGTTCTTTCACTCAGCATTATTTTGATTCATTCATATTGTTGCAAATGTCAGTAGTTCATCCCTTTTTCTTGCTGAGTAGCATTTCATTATATAGAAATTCCCACAGTTTGCTTATCCATTCATTTGTTGATAGACATTGGAGTGTTTTCCAGTTTGGGGCTATTGTGGAAAAAGCTGCTATGAACCTTCCTAACCAAGCTTATTTGTAAATATATTTTTCATTTATCTTAGGTAAATACCTAGGTGTGGATTTGTTGGGCCATGGGGTAGATATATATCTAACTTTGTAAGAAACTGCCAAAATATTTTTTTCCTAAGAGACTATGTCATTTTACACACTCACCAACTGGTTTAAGCTTAAATGGAACTTGTTCCTTAGTCAAGGCCTAAACTTGCTCTTTCCTCTTCCTGGAATGCCTTTGCACTAGTTTTAGTGTGGCTGGCTCCTTGACATTCAGGCCTTCCAATCACCATTCTGTAGCCATTATAATAATAATTGGTTTAGGTGAGAATCATCAATGAATGCTAAAACCAGTGGGTGAAAGTCTAAAGTACAGGATATTTAGTTTCAAAATATGTTCCCACAATATACTTACTACTTACAAAGGGAAGAGAGCTCTGGTAGCGTAGTGCCTAAGACATTTGACTGCTAACCATAAGGTTGGTGTTCAAAGCCACCAGCCACTCCTCTGAAGGAAGGCTGGGCAATCTACTTCCGTAGAGATACTGCCTGGGAAACCCAAGGAGGGGTCGCTATGAATCAGAGCGACTAGATGGCAGTCAGTTTGGTTTACAAAGGGAAGAATGTTGTTGTTATGTGCCATCAAGTCAGACCGATTCATAGCGATCCCTCCTTGGGTTTCCTAGGCGGTAACACTATGGAAGTAGATTGCCCAACCGTCCTTCCAAGGAGTGGCTGGTACTACCTGGGAGCTCTACTGGCATAGTGCCTAAACCACTTGACTGCTAATCAGAAGACTGGGCAATCTACTTCCGTAGAGATACCACCTCAGAAACCCAAGGAGGGGTCACTATGAGTCGGAAACGGAAACGAGGTGACGACAATGAATATGTTTTTTAGTTTATACAGTATCTAGTGGATTAGGCATTTAACTGCTCATCAAAAGGTCAGTGTTGTTCAAACCCACCAACTACTCCATGGAAGGAAGATGGGGCGACCTACTTCCATAAAGAGTTACAGCCTTGGGAACCCAGTGGGAGCCACTGTTTGTCAGAATAGGCAGATGGCAGTGATATATATATATAGATATAGATATAGATATAGATATGTATCACTATATATACACACATACATACATATACATACAGTTATTTGGCAACCAAATAATCACCAATATTGGGACAAGGAGTCCCTGGGGGGTTGGTATGAAAATGGTCAGTGTGTTTGTCTGCTAACGGAAAAGCTGGAGGTTTGAATACACCTAGGCCTCAGAAGAAAGGCTTGGCGACCTACTTCTGAAAAAAATCAGCCCTTGGACAAGCTCTGGAGCATAGCAGTTCTACTCTGACACATGGGATTACCATGAGCATGAATGAACCCCACAGCTGCTCTTCTTTTTTATTGGAACAAATCAGTATCATGCCTCCTGATGCAGTACACAGAAAAATGTAAAAACCTGAAACTTGAATCTCATCATGAGAACTTAGACAAATCCAGATTTGGGGGCATTCTACAAAACAACTTGTCAGTACTCTTCAAAAATGTCAGTCATGGAAGACAAAGAAAGACTGAGGAGACAAAAGAGACAGAACTAAATGCACTATGTGTTCCTGAATTGGATCCTGGGAAATAGCTATAAAGGGCTTTATTGGAACAATCAGCTAAACTTAATTATGGACTCTGTATTAAATAATTGTAAAAGTTAAAATTCCTAATTTCAATAATTATACTGAGATTATGTAATAGCCTTTTTTAAAAAATTTTTATTGTGATTTGGGTGAACGTTTACAGAGCAAATTCATTTTCCATGAAGCAGTTCATACACATTTTGTTTCATGACATTGACTGCCATTCCCCAGTAAGAGAATATCCTTTTTCTTAGAAAATACACACAGAAATAAAGAGGCATGATGTCTGAAATTTACTTTAAAATGGAAAGAATTACATTCATATTATATTTACACACAACATAAAAAAAGCAAAACCGAACTCACACGTATACATATGTATATATTGACATAAGTATATGAGCTTGTTGTTGTTGTTGTTATGTGCCGTCAAGTCGGCCCAACTCATAGCAACCCCTCCTTGGGTTTCCGAGGCATTATCACTACGGAAGTAGGATTGCCCAACCTTCCTTCCAAGGAGTGGCTGGTGGGTTTGAACCGCCAGCCATCTGGTTAGCAGGCAAGTGTCTTAGCCACTATGCTACCAGAACTCCCAAGTACATGAGCGTATAATGCAAATATAGCAAATGTGGTTGAAAAGGATGAGTTCTTTACTACTGTGATTTATATGTAAATTTGAAATTTTATCCAAAAATTAGTTACAGAAGCTTTCAGTGACTGAATTACCAAAAATCTGTGACTGTTCCTAATCCCCAGATACTTTTTATCTCATTTTCTCCATCACACTTATTACTGTTGACAATTATTCTGTGTGTTAATTTAATTAACACTTAACATTTACTGTTTGCCAAACCTTTATCGATGAGGAACAGAAACACAAGATGGGCTGGTTAACCTACTCAAGGTCACCCAGGTATGTTCTGTCTCCTCCAATGGCACAGAACCCCAACTATGGAGGCAACTATCTTGTCCACTGATTATAAGCAGTCAATAAATACTTGCAGATTCAGTCCAATCTTTATTGAGCATCTACTAGCTCTGGATAGTGCCTAAGGCACTTGACTGCTAACCAGAGGGCTGGAGGTTCAAACACACCAGCCACTCCTCGGAAGGAAGGTTGGGCAATCTAATTCCGTAGTGATTGTTGTTGTTGTTGTTGTTATGTGCCGTCGAGTCAGCCGTGACTCATAGTGACCCCTCCTTGGGTTTCCGAGGCAGTATCACTACGGAAGTAGGATTGCCCAACCTTCCTTCCGAGGAGTGGCTGGTGGGTTTGAACCGCCAGCCTTCTGGTTAGCAGTCAAGTGCCTTAGCCACTATGCTACCAGAGGTCCTTCCTCGGAAACCCAAGGAGGGGTCGCTATGAGTTGGGTCCGAGTGGAGGGCACATAACAACAACAGGCAATAGAGTACAAAGCAGTTAACAAAAAATTAATGCCTAAATGACGATTATATTAAGCACTCACTCTCAGCCCGTACTCAATTTAGTGTATGTATTTCACTTAGTCTTAACCACCCTGGAAAATAAGGCCGATTACCCATTTTGCAGAGGGAGGAGCAATGATTTGCCGAAGATAACAAGACTACTGGGAAGCTAGGCCAAGATTCTAATCCAGTACGGGCGGTTCCCAGGGCTCAGCTACGAATCAATCAAATCGACCAATCCAATCACTCAGTCAGTATTTATTAAGCGCCCACTGCGTGCGGTTCCTCTTCACGCAGCATAGGCGTGAGGAGAGGCTGTGGACACAGGTGGCGCTGGAAACCTAGAGGCCCCGGCAGATCGCGGAAATTTGGCGCCTATTTTTTGTTGGTCGGGTGTTCTTGAGCGTTCTCGCCAGTGATTGGGCCCCGGCTGCGGCTGCTCCGTCGATCCAGGCAGGACTCGGGCTGCGCGGCATTCGGCCGGCCTTCTGGGGGATGGGCCACCAGGAGTCCCCGCTAGCCCGAGAGCCAGCGGGAGGTGCGACTTATATAAAGGGGTTATGTAAAAGAATCAGCTGGCGAGAACACGTGGAGAAACACGGGAGCCTGGACGCCTGGTCCTTTCCCGCAAGCGCCGCAGCCACCACCGGTGGAGCAGCAAGATCCGTCGTACGCCCGGCCCTGGCCACCGCCTTTCGCGCAGCTCAGTCCCGGAGGCGGCCCCGACCGGGAGCAGACCATCCCCAGACGAGGACTCCAGGGGGGAAACGGGCCGCCCGGAAGTGGAGGGGCGCCAGCCAGGTAAGCGCGCGGTTTGCGGAGTAAAGGCAAGGCTGAAGCTAAAGCTACCTTCGTCGTCTTGGGCGCCTGGGGAGGGGAAGCGGGTCCCCGGGCTTAGAGCGCCCCGGGACGCTGAACTTTTAAGCCAACTCCCTCCCCCCGGCGCCCTCCGGGATTTGGGAGGCTCTGCAGGCCTCCGCTCGGACTTAATTCAATGGACTGTTTACACCCGGGCAACATTAGGTGGGAAGCGGGGAGGGGAATGCCATTGGTGGCTGGGCGGGGAAAAATATTTCAACAGTCCGAATCACCTGTTAGTGTGATTTTCAGAAATTGTAAAAATAGAAGGTTCATGTTTCTTCCTATTGCTATAGAATAAATTAACTTAGAAAGCGGGGACTTTTTCTTTCCTTTCCGGTTCCACCTCTGAGTTATTGCTCTGTGGTTCCGTCTAACCCGCTTACCCCTCCCCTCCCCTGTTCAAGCTGCGGTGGTGGTTTCAGTCTTAAAGGGGCCGCGGCGGCCGGAGGTGGGACGCTTTGCGGCCTGCGCTCCTGGCTTCCCCGCTTCGGCCTGGTCGTTTAACCGATTCTTTGGTCCGCAGGTCGCAATCCAAGGTCTCGCTCCTTCGCTTCCCGGGGCCGCACGGAGGGATGAGGCAGGGGGGGCCCGGGCAGCGCCGTTGCTGCTCCCCCCGCCGCCCGCAGCCATGGAAACTGGGGAGGAGGACGGCGCCCGCAGAGGTACACAAAGCCCCGAGCGGAAAAGGCGAAGCCCAGTGCCCCGGGCGCCCAGCGCGAAGCTGAGGCCCGCGGCGGCTGCCCAGGCCATGGATCCAGCGGCGGTCGAGGCTCCGGGCGAGGCCTACCTGGCGCGGCGGCGGCCGGAGGGTGGCGGCGGGTCGGTCCGACCTCGCTACAGCTTATTGGCAGAGATCGGGCGCGGCAGCTACGGCGTGGTTTACGAGGCGGTGGCCGGGCGCAGCGGGGCCCGGGTGGCGGTCAAGAAGATCCGCTGCGACGCCCCCGAGAACGTGGAGCTGGCGCTGGCTGAATTCTGGGCCCTGACCAGCCTAAAGCGGCGCCACCAGAACGTAGTGCAGTTTGAGGAGTGTGTCTTGCAGCGCAACGGGCTAGCCCAGCGCATGAGCCACGGCAACAAGAGTTCGCAGCTTTACCTGCGCCTGGTGGAGACCTCGCTGAAAGGTAGGAGTGCCGCAGGCCATCCGGCCCACCCAAGGCCTAGACTACCTTCAGGACCCCTTAGGCCCTAGTCTTGGTCCTGTCATCCAGGCCGAGACACACCCTCAGTCAGTGACTCCTTTCCGGGCCCAGGCGTTCGGACCCTCCTCCCTTTTCAGGACATACCGCCAGTTCTTGACTCAAAAGTTACTTGGTCTTTTCATAATAAGAGCTCATTAAGTGTTAAATCGTTACCTTATTAAGTAGTAAGTAACTAGGAGCCATTGTTAATAACCATAACACTTTTAAAAAAGATCAGTTGAGAGGGTTGGGTTCCCAGTTGATGGAAGAATTGCAGAGTCTGCTTCTTCTAGAGGTTTTTTTCTTTCCTTTCCAAAACAAAACCCAACTTTACTGGATCCAGCACACCCCCTCCCTGTCTAGTTCCAAATACCCTGACACTCTCCAGTTCCACACCCCAAACACTTGTTTTCTAGTCTACCTTTTTCTCAACCCTTCATCCCCTGGCAATCAAGCAAACTGGGGTTTCTGGCTAAGTTCCCTAGGGCATTCATAATAATAACCCCACAGGTGGGCCTAGAGCTGTCACATAACAAAGCATCTCACATCTTTTCTTTCCATCTTAAGTTCTGGCTGGGAACTGAGTTTTACGTTAAGAGAAAATGATGCTCATTGAGGCACAGGGGCTTGCAGTAATGGGGCAGTGGGCTGGAGAAGGCCTCCTCCAGGGAAAAGGGCAACTAATCTGAGTCCCAGCTGTGATCTCAACACTGCCCTCAATATCTTACAGAAGTGATTTTAGGTAATAACTTTAAAAGTAAATATTGTCTTCTTTCTATAAGTGGAGAAACTGAGGTATAGAGGACATAACTTGATCAAGGGTTAATCAGCTTGTCAGAACTGACTCCAGAAGCTGTACTCCTGGCTTCCTTACAACTTCTCTTAGCTTAAGTGATTGAACCCATCACTTGCTGTAAAGCTTGGATCCTTTTCATAGGATAATGGTTGCCTCCCCCTTCCCAAGGATGGACTTGAATTGACCTTTAAGAATGGAGAGAATTTGGGGTGAGATTAGATAGGGTAGTTTCCTAAAGTCTTGTTTGGGGTTTTTGCCCAACTTTCCTTTTTAAGATCTCACGAACTCATTGCTGATAGTGGGTTCTGGGACATGATCAGGATCATCTGGGGTTCTTCTGCCCCCCCCCCCTAAAATTTCCACCTTCATGCCCATCCCTGCCTCTTCCATTCTGAAAAGCCCACCCTCTCCCCCGTGGGAATGTATTTGTTTAATCTTGTCCTTTCTCACACTGTCATCTTCTCTGCTGTAGTAAATGAGGGCCTGGCCTTCCGTATTAAGGGACTGCCATGGGATGTGGCACTTTGCTTTGCCTGATGCTCTGCTCCCAAGGAGCTCTGGTAGTGATGTGGTTAAGGCATTTGGCTGCTAACCAAAATGTCAGTGGTTTGAACCCACTAGCTGCTTCTTGGAGATATACAGCCTTGGAAACCTAGTGGAGGTCGCTATGAGTTGGAATTGACTCCCTGGCAGTCAGTTTGGTTTTGGTTTGGAATGCTTCTCTCCCAGGAGCTCTGGTGGTGTAGTGGTTAAAGCATTAGACTGCTAACCAAAAGGTTGGCAGTTCGAACCCTCCAGCCACTGTGCAGGAGAAAGATGAGGCAGTCTGCTTTCATAAAGTTTTACAACCTTGGAAACCCTATGGGGTAGTTGTACTCTTGTGTAGAACTCTGTTGTAGTAGTTCTACTGTGGGTAGTAGTTCTACTGTGGGTCGGAATTGACTCCATGGCAGTTTTGGTTTTTGGTTTTTAATCTTCCTCTTCTATCCTCAGTTCGTTGTTGCTGCTCTTGAAATTTCCACCTGAGTTTGAAGCCCTCACTCTCCCTATATATAAAAACTATTCAGACTTCCCTCACGTGTAGAATCTATCAAAACCCTGCAGTAGACAATGGCAGAATAGCATCGTGGTTAACATGGACTTTGGGGGTAGGACTCTCGGTCAGTGAACTGACTGACCTGCCTGAGAGCAGGGGACAAGTTTCCTTTATTTGCAAGCGGAGTATTTCTTTATTTGCAAGATGAGATGAAGAGTAGTACCTATGTCATAGGGTTGCTGTGCAGACTAGGGATGTCAGTAAGTGCTCCAGATAAGGAATTTTCTGCCTTATTAAGTTTGGGCTACATTTAGAAGTCTCTTCCATCACCCCTTTCCAGATTCACAGTGTTGTTGTTCAAGATTCCTGTAAAAATGGCTTGGCAGGGGCCTCTGACCCCCTCTAAGTTCACAAGGAGGAAAAAGCATTAATATTAACAGCCTAAGGCTAATTCCTCATGGTGCTTGGGGGGTGTCAGTCAGACGTGGCTCCTCTTTTCAACCTTTTTACCAGTTCTGACGCCAGCTGTTTTTTCTCATGGCATTCTCTACTTCTCTGTTGGTTTGATAATTCATTGCAGTGGCCACGGAGCTCACAGACCACACTCACCATTATGGGCTTTATTAGGGAAGTAACTAACAGTTCAGGATTGGGAATGATTACAGGAATGATAACAGTTCTTCCATTGGGACAGCTTCTCAACCATGTCCACAGGCAGGCCACTCCCTGTCCATCGGCCTCTCAGCTCTCAGCCCCTCAGGCTTCTCTGGTGGCCCAGCCTTTGCCTTGCTTTGCTCTGGCAAGTGTTACAAAGCTCTTTAGCTCTGCCAGTAAGTGCCTGGGAGCACCCCATACTACCAGTAAGCCTTGGCTGAAGGTGCTCGGCGCTCTCTGCAAGCTCACTGTAACCACCTCACTCTGTGGGCTAGGAAGTGTGTCGTGCTGGGCTCCTAGATCTGCTGCCATCATTTCTCACCATCTTGCACCAGCTCTGATGTTACAGCTCTCTGTCTCCTGGGTCTAGGAGATTCTCTGCCCAGGGACCCTGGGTCCAAAGGACGGTGTTCTGTTTCCATCTGTTTTTGGTAGTACTGACAGTCCCCTCTTTGCACCTCTAGGTTGGCTTCTTTAAAGCCTAGCAGGATGGCAAAACAGTTTCCTGATTGGCGTTTGGTATACCTTATGTGCATAGTCCCAACTAGTAATTTGGTGAGAGTTACAAGACCATGGTTAGAAAGGCCATATAGAAGCTATCCATTGCACAGCAGGCCACCTCCTGGCTTTTCTAGCCTTAGTTCTTCCATACTTAGAGGATCACTTCCTCCTCCCAATCATTTTATCAGTCCAAAACAGTCATTAATAGTTATTCCTTCAGTAGGGCAGAGAGTCCTCAGAGTGAGGTTACTCAGGTACCAGTCATTTAGGTCAGCTGCCAGGTGTCCATCTGATCTGGCTACATTCTCCAAAAATCCTTTATCTTGGCTTCACCTTTTCTGGTGTCTGATAAAATTTAACTGAGAGAAAATTATTCCCTTGCTCTGAGCTTCACAAGGTATCAACATTGCAAAACCTTTATGGGACAATGGGTTCAGCCACTGTGTTCCCGTCGAGCAGTGCCTCCCCTTTAGTCGACTCTTCTACACTTAAGGCATTTGCAGTTGCAGTTTTATACAATCACAGTTAACGTTAACAGTCGGCACTCACAACCGAATCATATCATCTTATCATCCCCTACCCTCTCCCCCAGACCCATCAGGAAAAGAATCTCTTCAGTGGATCCTCCTTTGTCCCCCTCATTTTGAGTGTAAGCACACCCACAAAAGCATGTATGCTACTACCACTTCATGCTTTTTTATCTCCCCCCATTTTATGCAGCCAGTTTCTAACATTGACGGTCTTCTCTTTTTCACTGAACCTCTGCTAAGCATGATGACTTCCAGGGACTGGTGGCTTCTGATAACATGTCCAAAGTGCGATGAATTCTGTCCATCCTCACTTTGCTGTACTTCTTCCCAAGAAATACAAGATTTATTTGTTCTTCTGGCAGTTTGCGATATATTCAACATTTTTTTTTGCCAGCACCATAATTAAAATGCATCAATTCTTCTTTAGTCTTCCTTAGTCCAGCTTTCCCATGCATATGGGGCGATTGAAAGTACTAAGATAAGATACTATGGCTTGGGTCAGAGACACCTTAGTCCTCAAAGTGATACCTGTGCTTTTTAACACTATTATTTTTAACACTTTAAAGGTCTTTTGCAGTAGATTTGCCCAATGCAATATGTCATTTGATTTCTTGACTTCTGCTTCCATGGGCATTGATTGTGGAGCCAAGTAAAATGAAGTACTTCGCAACTTCAGTATTTTCTGCATTTATCATGATGTTGCTTATTGGTCCAATTGTGAGGATTTTTGTTTTCTTTTATGTTGAGGTATAATCCATACTGAAGGCTGTAGTTTTGATTTTCATCAGTAAGTGCTTCACTTTCAGCAAGCAAGGTTGTGTCATCTGTGTATTGCAGGTTTCTGAAACCTGTCTACCCTGGGTGACCCTGTTGGTATTTGAAATACTAGTGGCATAGCTTCCAGCATCATAGCAACACGGAAGCCACCACATGACAGATTTGACAGACTAGTGGTGGCAAGTAGTGAATAGGCCATCGTTTTTTGCTTGTTACTATCGTTAAAGTGGAGAACAAAGATCCTATCCTTAAACACAAGTTCTTTGCAAGCACCCTTTTCCCCAGTCTCCTGCAACCTAGAATGATTTTGAAATAGAACTAAAAGTGAAGTATTACATTGCCTTTAAGTCTCAGCTCTACCTAATCCACATACTTACACTGAGTTCCTACTGTGGTGTTGGGGGGAGGGGGGAAGGGATACTCTTTGCTGCACAGGAACTTACATTTGAAAAGTTTGAGGACCAGTAGATGACTTAAATGCTAATCAAGGTCACTGGAGGAAATGTCAGGTTGGTTCATTAACAAAAGCTTTGTACAGAATTGGGAGGGCATCTGGAGAATTGAGAAGGCAGCCTTGACCGAAGATGCCTCTACTTGTTGCCCTTGAGTCAGATCCCACTCATAGCGACCCCTTCTTGGGTTTCCGAGC